AGGATAGATTGTGACTTCAAATCATGCAAAGTCAAAGAAAATGAATATATGTTATTAATAGAAGAGAGAAACAAAAAAATTACAAAACTCTCTCCAATAAGTCTCTTTCCATTCTACCTTCATTTCTTACTTCTCCGTAACTCTCGGAAGATAGGCGTTAGACAAACAGATTTTTCATGAACAAACTTTAAGGCTTAAAATTTGAAAAACATCATTTCAGTTTGTACCTTCAGCTTTAGATTGTTTTTGGAATCCAAACAAAATTTAAAAGTTCAGTACTGATCAGTTAACTACTGTTTTTCATTAGTTTGAATAGAGTCAACAACGAAAAGAACCCAAATTCATAAAATATTTTGCAGGTCATATTGGTTTTCAAACAATTATTGAGGTCATTTTTACCGTCCCCAGTTGCATGTGGATTAGCATTTAAGCGTAACTCATAGAGGTTGAAACGTATGCAAGAAAAACAATTTTAATTTTTTTTTTTTGTACACGTGGGAATTGTTGCAACCATGTGATTATCAAACTCATAGTCAACTTCGGATGGACATAATCGCCCACTTATCATGCTATTGTTTAAACTCGGACTTTATACAGCCTCACGACTTGAACTCTGTACGCTCAATCAACCACTAAACCAGTCCATGCGGGTTAAGTATGTCTTGATTTGGGGAGTGGTGTAATCAGATGCCCTAAGCTAGTGGGTATGCTATTATGGTGGTCAAGGTGGGTTCATTTACAGTTCAACTAATTTCAGATTAGGGGATATTGTTACAATAAAAAAAAAATGTATAATAAGTAGCATAATTACTAATCCATAGATCATAATACCTTGGCTTGCAATTTTTTCCAGCATAATTTAAAATTTGAAAAACGTAAAACAAATACAACATCAACAAAGTCTCGTCCGAATTGATTTCTTGTCCCCAGGAAGGAACTCGATTGAACATCACAAATTTAGTTTTCAACAGTGTTTTAAAATCCGGTGCAAGCCTGACGGGTTGACCCGATGAGCTAGTGTTTAAACCGGGCAGGTTCATCTATTTAACCGTTTATGCATGTAAACCGCAAAAAACCCGATAAACCGGAAAAAACTCGAAGAACCCATCAACCCGGGCGAGTTTAGTCAAACCAGCCAGATCATTACATTTACTATAAAATAAAGAATTTTGGCCCTTTTGGGCATTTTGGCCTAAACTGTTTCCACTTTCCAGCCACAGCCTCCTTCTTGGCAATCGGTGGAGAGGTGGACGACCTGAGCCTCCTTCTCTCTCTGTCTCTCTCTCTGTGGTCTCTGCACTCAACAGTAGTGTGCACTACAAGCACCAAAGGGAGTAAGTCATCCAGTAAGGAACTCGATTGAAGACTCAAGTGGAAGGAACTTTCGATTTCGAAGGAGAATGCTGCTTCAAAGCTCCATCGAGGCATCGATGACAACCATCAGGAACTAGCAGCAGGTACTGTGATACTCTCTCTCTCTCTCGATCTATCTGCTCTCTGACTCTTGGTGTATGACTATGCTAGATCTGATTTTTTATTTGTATTTTGTATACATTGAATCTTTGATAATTGATAATGCTATATTTTATACATTAAATGAAGCTTTGATTTTTTATACATTGGTTTTCTTATCCTTTTGGATTGTTAAAAATCCAAAGTTGATCGTGATTGTAACTATGATGGTGTGGATCAGTTGCCTGTGTTGCTTCATCTGAAGGTTTGAGGTCCACACTCGCTTGCACTGTCATTTGACGTGGAGATCCAATTAGCATGTAGTCCCTCTGACTCACTTGTATACTGATCGAATTGAATTGTGCATCTGTCTGTAAGTGAACGTTTCTATATTTTTAATAATATAGGGATGTTGTTGATGCTAGAAAATTTTAAACTTGAATATCCGGTGGTCTTTGATACTAGTTGGGTTTTTTTTTATTGGTGGTTTTTTGGTTTTGGATGCTCGTATTAGAAAGTTATTGTAATTTTTTAGTCTATTTATTATTATTTATAATTATTTATTTATTATTTTACCGGTTTAACCAGTAAAGCAACAGTTGGACCAATAACCCATTAATCCGGGCTTTTTATCGGGTTGATGTTCGGGTCGAATTTTAAAACTATGATTTTTAACTTTTAGACTTCAATTTTCAAACTCCGCCTTCGAATTAATCTATTTCACACACGACAATCATGTTTGTTTGTTTTTTTTTTCGAGTTTTTGCTCCTCAAAGTTGTTGGTCTTACCTGGTTGCTTTGGTTTTGGAAATTTTTGGTTTTTTCAATCCAGTATGGTGTGTTCTTAGAATGTGGTGGTGGAAGAGTGTCCATTTAGGATTGAAATTGGGAATGGGTTTTTATTTGTGAGTGGTTTTGTGGCTGGTTTTTGGTGTATAGGCTCATATTGGTCCTGGGTTTTATCGTAAGAAACATGAATACAGATGCGGGTGTCATATTCGATATAATGCGGATAAGAGAATACATTAAAATTTTAAAATATATTTAATATTGTATAATTGGACCAATGGGTTAATATTAAATTTGATTAGTAGATAAATATGTTATAGGCAATGGACTAAACCAAATTAGGTAATAGGGTGACAACTAATAAGGTGTGATTATAATTTAGCATAAAATACAAAAAGTTCAAGGGTTATTTGGTGACGGGACACCATCACAAGGAAACAACTCGGAGAGAAAGAGAGACACAAAGAAGAAAAAAAAACTTTGTTAAAGAGAAATTAGGGCAAGCCGACTCACACTAATCGAAGAGAATGAGTGAGTGAGTGAGGTCGGCCTATGCGAGATTTGACGGCATCAAATCTCGCAGGAGTATCAAGAAGGATGAGGAGAAAAAAAAAGAAGCAAAAATAGAAGAAGAGATTAGATACAACATATCTAATCGAAGAAAGAGGAGATCTGTGGTTGTGGCTGATCTTAAGTCTGTATCTTCTTCTTCCCATCCTTTTTTTGGGTTTAGATTCTGACCAAATCCCAAGTATCCATGTTTCCTGCGCTTTATCTATTTCCTTTGGGTGTTATGAATCAATCACCCAAAGGTTCGGCACAAGGAAACTGAAATATCAATATTAAAGAATAGGAAAATACTATTTGAATATAATTTGAGAATCTTAATTGAAAATTTAATGATATATAATTATTGGATTGATTGTGAGTTCCATGATATTGAAACTCATAACTAATTTAATAGTTACATTGAAATTACATCGTTAAATCCCTAAATAAAATTCTTATAGCATTACTCAAAAGAATAATGTCATTGGGCCTGCCCCATGGACGGCCCCTTCAATCAGATAAAAGTCTACCCTTGCCAACTCCACCAAGCCTTGCCTTCAATGGAGCATTTAGATCCAATCGAAGGACATAAAATTCAGACTTTTTTCTACACACATGTAACTCCAAGTCTCGTCAATAATACAACAAAATAAGATAGACTTTAATAAACTTATCTGATGGTCTCAAATAGACTCATTCAACAATCACTAATATTCCTTTTAAAATTATTTACATTACACCGTACCTTCAGACACGGTTTACTCCTAATATATTTACTAAAAAGAAGTGAACTTCCGAATAAGACAACTAACAATAATCCCATGTCTCTCGTGTCTAGAGACATTCTATAATATCAAAAATTGAACATTAATTATATGATATTTATATTTTAGATAATAATTTTTTTTACTATAATTTTTTTAATTATATAATCTAAAATTAAAGTGAATAGCGAATAAAAAAGATAGAGGTAAGATATAGAGATAGGTGTGAATTAACGGGGTTTCTTGAAATTGAGAGTGTATTAGTTAAGTCAAGCAAAGAATATGATATTTTTAAACAAAAAATAAATTTTAGGATGAATTTTGCACAATTTGATCAAAATAAATAAAAATTAAATTAATTTTAACCGTTATACCAAGCATTTTTCCACATTAAAACTTGAGCTGTTTTTCTTTGGCAACCTCTAGGATACTTCTCTGCACATGGAAATTTTGTTTGATCTTGATGATAACTTTTCAAACTTGCTGTGGCCGTTTCACATAGGTAACTTGCAGTGAAGGTGTTTCTTGAAGGCGCCGCCACCAAAACGGGTCAATTAAGCCCAGTTGTTCAATACAAACTGAAAACCAACTTCCTAAATATTATAAAATCCTTTAGCTATGGTCCTGTCCGGTGACAATTCCGTAAATTTGATAAGAAATCAATATGAAATGGAATAAGTCGATTTGGATTTAGTTTTTTCAAATGATAAATAGAGATAAACCCATTAAACATATAAAATAAATGCATCTAAACACCTTTTATCCGATATTACACAAATTCATTTATAAATAAAAGTTGGCAAATTCATACAATGAACACCACACACCGTTTAACATATAAATATTTATTTTTTATGACTTCTTGGGTCAAGTAATGATAAATTTATTTTTAATAAATACCTTAATCCAGGCATAAATGACATGTCTTTAACCTGACCGAGGAGGAAATTAGTTAATTTGCACATAAATAGCCCCGTTTAATCAAAAAAAAAAAATGATCAATGTTATAAAATTCAAATGAAACTCAAAAAATTGTAACTCAAATACATATCATCCATTGGATGAGTGTGTTTCATCAATTTTTTCAGTGGACACACACACCACATTTATCCGATGGATAATATGTATTTATATTTTAACTTTTGAATTTTATTTGGCTCATGTACCATTTTTCAAAAAAAATAATAATAATATTTAGGTTGACTAGTGGTATTGAAGTTTGGTGAAGGTTTCCGACAATTTAACAAAGTCATCACCACCGACCGCGTCGTCTTAGACCCATTCACACTTGTCTCAGGTCTACCGTCCACCCTAAGCTTTAGACAACTTTCCATGAAACCAACAAAGACGAAAAATAATGACAAATGACTGTCTGGACTTGGGTTGGCATGGCATTTGTTCTATATATAATCACAAACACTTTTGTACGTATCAACCCATTATACAAAGCCATTAATCTTTCTTCCTTTGCTTGTCCGAAAATTTTGCAAATGGAAGTGTTCGAAGATTTGTTGCCAGTTATGGCTAAAAAGTTAGGAACAGAAGGATTGATCACAGAGCTGTGTAATGGTTTTCGGCTACTGATGGATGGTGAAAAAGGAGTGATTACATGTGAGAGCCTCAAGAGGAACTCTCTTCTTCTTGGTTTGCAGAATCTTCGAGACGAGGAGTTGGAGAGCATGGTAAGAGAAGGAGACTTGGATGGAGATGGGGCTCTAAGTGAATTCGAATTCTGTGTTTTAATGTTTTCGTTGAGTCCTGAATTGATGGATATTGGAGCTCAGAGACTGTTTGATGAAGCTCTTGTACATGATTTTAAGCAGCACTAATTGCTTCAACTGTCTGCTAGCTAGCTAATGTTGATTAATAAAAATAATGGAATAATGTAGTCAATTTCTTTGTACATGTTTTTTTATTTGTTCTTGTTGGCTTGTTAATGGATGGGGTACTGTCGTATTTTAAGTTGTGATACTGTTTTTGGGTTGAAAAATAGATCTCATAATGCAATTTATTTCAGGTTGATTAATTTTGTTAAGAATTATGTAATCTTGTGTACATGACATCTAGATTTCTCTTCTCTTTTTGATGTCACATTTAGAATGAGAAACCTAGTGTTGGCTTTAATTCATTCTCATTCCATCCATTCCATCTATGATGCAAGCATCCAAATAAGATGTATGTAACCTATTGTTCATTAATGAAGTCGGTATGCGGCTGCTGGTGGGTCTTGGGCTTAACTGATATCTGTAGTTTATAGGTGATTACAAGTATCTAATGTTTATTATCACAATAACGGATCCAAAATGACCCTACATTGGAAAGGTTCGTCATTAAACTAAAAAAAAAAAAACCCAAAGCTGGTAGCTTGCATATTAGGGGTTTACTAAAAATTGGCTATTGATATGAGGAGTTTGAGCTCGAGTTTAAACTTAAGTATGCTGGTGGATCTAACTAATGATGGATCTAACTAATGAATCAAATTTATCACATTTGTGGGTATTTTTATCATTATTATAGGTGTTGTTATCACAATTGTGGTAACTACTTTTATCACTTTTCTTCGGTACCACAATAGTGATAAAAATATCCATAATAATGATAAAAACACTTACAAATATGATAAATATCGATACGATACCTATTTTTTTTTTCATACTGTAGGCAACTCCTTGATTCATTAGTTTATTACCCTATTAACATCGACAATGACTATAGTATCCAAAGAACAACTTAAACCTTAATGACAGCCAAAATAAAACATCCACAACATGTTTTGTTTTTATCTTTTTTTATTTTGGTGAAAGAAAAAGTGCTTCAACCATATATTTTTAATTCTTAATTATTATATAAACTTCTTCATGCATATTAAAAAAACCAAAATTGGAATTTCTTATATTCACATATTACATTACTTGGACTTTCCTATACAAAGTAATTGGTGTAAGAATGTAGAAAGGTGAATACATTAAATAAGTCATACTCGTTATGATTCAAGCACAACGAATCAACAGATTTGAATACTATTTTACTATTCCAGATTTGAATAATATTTTACTATTCTTTACGAACCTCCTTGATGATCACCAAAACCTTTAAGCGTGAACACTTTGACTCACAATAAGTTAACGCTATACAAGCCAAACCCGAATTTTCACCGTTCTAGTCTCACACAATTCATGATATATAGAGAAATAATAGAGAACATCAATCGTAGTAATTTTTTGTATTTTATGTGTTGGTAGAATCCCACTATACATAGAGAGATATATAACACATGTGGGGATAATGTGGAAATATTTTAGGAACTATGATAAGGTGGAGAGATTTTAGGATCTAAACCTATCTTTTTCTAGGCTTGACTAAGTTTAAGTTACTCTAAACACTAAGGTGGTGTTTGATAAAGTTGAAAGTTGAACATTGAAAATTGAATGCTGAATTTTAAGTACTGAATGCTGAATTTTTTAATTTGTTGACTGTTTGGTATCAACTGAAATTTAAGTATTTAATTTAATTAAACTGCTTGACAAATATAAGAAGCTGAAGTCTAAAAATTATTTTTTTTTTAATTTTGCCCTTCTTTTTAATTATCTTTCCATAACTGACTTATTCTTATCACCACCATCACAATGGTGGTGGTAGTGGAAGCGGCAATGATGGTGGTGGTAGCGGCGGCAATACAATGGTGGTAGTGATGGTAGTGACATAATGGTGGCGATGGTGACAATGGCGATAGTGGTGGTGACGATAATAGTGATGGTGGTGGTGATGATAGTGGCACAATATTAGTGATGGCGGCAGCGATGGTGATGGTGGTGGCGGTGACACAATGATAATGGTGATGGTGATGGTGGCGATGGTACAATGGTGGTGGTGGTAACGACGATAGTCGTGGTGGTGATAGCGATGACATAATGGTAGTGGTAGCGGTGGCACAATAGTGGCGGCGACAATGACATAATGGTCGTGGTGATAGCGGTGACACAATGGTGGTAACAGTAGTGGTGGTGATAGTGGTGGCAACAATGGTGGTGGTGGTGTCAGTGACACAATCGTAATAGTGGCGGCAGCGATGGTGATGGTGACGGTGTTGGTGATGGTGACGGTGACGGTGGCACGATGGTGATGATGGTAGTGGTGATGGTGATAGTGTTGGTGGTGGTAGCGATGACACAATGGTGGTGAAGGTATATTTGTATATTATAAGAAATTGATAAAATCTTTATTGACTAACATTTAACATTAAGTGATAAGTAGGTGACTTGCTGCTTAAAATTTTATCATATTTTTAAGAAGTACTTAAAATATTAAATAGTAAAATTTTAGCCTATTTTTAAGAAATGCTTAAAATATTAAATAGTATGATTTTTAGATTATCAAATGAGTTTTATTTATTAAGTGCTTAAAGTATTTAATTTTAAACCTTAAACGGTATTATCAAACACCCCCTAACTCATCCATATTTATTCAAATTGTGTCCGCCCATAGATGCTGCTGATTTGGGCCTTCCTCGTTTCCACATTTCACCGATTTTTTGGACACTGGTGTGGTAGGTGAAGATCAAATGAATATTTTCCACTGGATTGGTTCATTTAAATATAGACAGACATGTTTATATAAAGATATATAGATATAGACACTCATGTTTATATACAATTCATGTCTTTGATGCTTCATTGTGGTGTGCCTGTTTAGTCTGTAATGGTTGGAGCTTGTGACTGACTTCTCTTGGTTTAATTAAGTGTCTCCGTACGCTCTTGCTGGATTTGGTATATAAAATGATCAAAATGTGTATGAGTTTTGCATTTTATTCTGCTCACAACTAGGAATGGCAGTGGACCAACTTTGGTAGTTAATTTTGGAATTTAAATATGGCCCTTGTTTTCTTAGAATTATCTTTATCCCCTCTTTGCTTCTTGACTTTACCTACTATCTGATGATCCACAGAAAAACATTCGTAAGAAATATTGTGTTGAGCTGTAATTAAATGCTACTAAGTTAGATGTTTACCACTTCTTTAGAACCTTAGGACATTGTATCATATTTGTTTCTTATTATTGTTCTTGGGTAACAGACTTGTTGACATGCAAGGATTGAATTTATCATTCAACTAGCAACAGTGGTTCTAAGTTCAAAAGTGGCCATAGTTCTCACCAAACCAAAGCTGTAAAAACTTTGATTAAGCATGGCATCTCATTAATTTATGCAAGCCTTGCCATGTCTGCTATTGTTCTGAGTTTCTGCATATTTTTCTTGGGAGTTCATTTCGCTAATTGTATCAGTGCAGTCACTTTTTCATTATAACCTGCCTATAGGTTGCTTGTATCTTGAGGCTGTTGGATCTCCTCTGCATCTGTTCTTCCTCTTTCGTGCAGAAATTGGTATGCAATTTAATTGCTAGATTGCTTTGCTTGCTCGTTTTTGTTTGATTATTTATATTACTTAGTTGATTAAGTAGGAATGGAAGGAGAAGAAGTGAGAAATAATATGTCAACTCCTCAAACTTCTACAACACTTGGTGAAAACAACTAACTTCTAATCTTTATTGATAAAAATCAATCTACCAACTCAACTCCAATGACTCTTGGTGAAACAGATAGACATAAATCAATTGTGTGAAATTATTTCAAGAGGAAAACAATTGATGAGATGTTAAAGGCTGAGTGCAATGAATGTAAAAAATTGCTTGTTGATGGTGATAAGAATGGAACTACCCACTTGCATGACCATCTTAAAAGTTGTCTGAGGAAGAAATATAAAAATTTGAAGCAATGTTTATTGGTATCAAACCAATTAAAGAAGGATACTGAGAAAATAATGGAGAACTGGCGATTTGTTCAAGAGGTGGGGAGGAGGGATCTTGCCAATATGATTATATTGCATGAATATCCTCTTAGTATGATTGAGCATCACGGGTTTCAAAAATATTGACAGACTCTTCAACCAATGTTCAAAATGATATTCCGAATCACTCTTAGAAATGATATCCTTCAAATTTACAAAACCGAAAAGGAGAAGATAATGAAATTGTTGGAAAAAAACAAAAAGTAGAGTTGCTATCACTACGGACATGCGGTCCTCAAACAATCAAAGAAAAGGATATATGACAATCACCACACACTTTATTGACAATTCTTGGACATTGCAAAATCGGATTATAAGGTACTAATGATCTTTCATTAGCATGTGTTATTTATTATAGGGTACTAATGATCTTCTATTAACATGTATTATTTATTATCTTTAGATTTTTGTATGTGCTTTATGCACACACCAAGAAAATGCTTGTGGAGTGTTTAATGGATTGTTTTTTTGATTGGAACGTTGATAGAAAATTGATCACTTTGACTGTGGATAATTGTATCACTAATGATGCAATTGTGATTATTTTGTTGGATAAACTTCTATTTGGTTCACTAATATTGCATGATCGGTTGTTCCATATGCATTGTTGTGCACATATTCTTAACTTAATTGTCCAAGATGGTTTGAATGTGATTGGAGATGGTATAGAAAGAATTCGTGATAGTATTGCTTATTGGACAGCATCTCCTAAGAGAGTGCAAAAATTTGAAGAGGCAGCTCATCAAATACATATTCCAAGTAACAAGAAGTTTGTTCTTGATGTTAAGACTCGATGAAACTCTACTTTTTTTTATGCCTCAAACTAGTTTGATTTATAAAGATGTGTTTGCTCGCTTAAAATATCGAGATTCTCATTACAAGATTTGTCCGACCGAAGATGATTGGGAGGTGACAAGAGAGATTTGTGAAAAATTAGAATTGTTTCATATTGCAACAAATTTATTTTCAGGTACAAAGTATCTTACTGTCAATGTATATTTTTCAACTATTTGTGGGGTAATAGTAGAATTATCTAAGTGGCTTCAAGGTCTCAAAGACGTGATAAAAAGATATGACCTTGAATATATTGGAAAAGTTTAACAAATATTGGAGCGTGATTCTTGGTGTTATGAGAATAGTCGCTGTTTTAGATCCACGGTATAAGTTGAAAATTTTGGAGTATTA